GATAACCATCTACTCCTGCTGAGAGCCATAGCCAAGTAGGAATGATGCATGGCAATTTCCTTGTCAGCCTACCCAATGTTGCTTAGAGGGAGGACTCTCCATTGTGGAAATGGGCTTGCCTTGGACCCAGGTCATTTGCAGTGACATTGCATGAATGTCTGAGAGAGGTGACCCTGCTCAAGGACCAGGGTAGATCCGGGTTTAGGGTGGATCTGGGTTTAGGGTGGATCCTGCTGGGAATAGGGTGAATCCTGCTGCCTCAGGCGCCCGCTCCTTGAGTTCCCGAGTTCTCGCGGGGTTCTGAGAGTATTTGGGTGGAGGGTGGATTTTCCCAGAACGTGCGTGCAGAGGGCTGGTGAGAGTCGGGAATAAAGAGTTGCTGTTTGAATCTACAAGGCGGTGTGGTGGCTCGGTTATTTTGTGCCCAGCCAGACTGCAGCATACTCCTGCTTACTGCCCTTTATGAAAGATTCAGATCCCCTAAACTCAAAATTCCTCACCTGAAATGCAACCCAGTTCATGTTCAGGAAGAATTTGGCCCTCTTCAACCTTTTTTTTAAATACCTTTATACCTGGGAAACCAGTATAAATTTTAAAGACATTCTGGGGATCTGTCTACTGCTCGGACTGTAAATTATAGACTGTCTTCTCTGACAAAGAAGTCTTGTGTGTTTTCCCAGCACCCACCAAATGATAGCAAGATAATTCATTTGACTGAGATAAAATCTTAGTCACTTCAAATTTCTTGCCAATTATAAGAGATTTCTTGAATAATAGCAAACTTTTTTTCTCTACACATTTCCAAAGTCTTTTTGGTCAACCAGGATGATTTAATCTAAAATCAAGAGTTTTTTTTTTTTTTTTTTAATAAAATAGGAGTTCAAAAAATCAAAAATTTCTGAATACATTGTTAAATTTCTAAACCTCGGGGCTCTGGGCAAGCACTTTGCTGCACTTTTTGGAAAGTTGTTGTGCTTTTACTAGTTGGGAAAAAAACCTTCTTTTGTTCCAGGAACTAATTTTATAAAATTTATCTCTTGGATCCTGGAGCACAAAGAGAATCAGACTCAGCCTTCATGTTGAAATCAGTGTTGTCCCAGGGTGAGGCTCTTCTGCTTTATAGTTTTAGAGCTTAGCAGGCTTTCTGCTCTAACTTCCCCTCAAGAAAACCCCGAGGAGGGCACATCTCACATAGTTTCTGAAAGTCAAAGGACAAATGTCCATCCACATCCCAAACAGCTGGGAAACCCTTAAACAAATCTCCAGCAAGAAAGGAGAGGGTTACTGGCAGGATGCCTGTACCTCCAACTTGCCAGGAACAGTCCAGGTTCTTGCTGTTCCCCATTTGGACAATAAATCTACATCCATTAGCACAGTTATCCAAGTCAAAGGGTTCAGGAAGATTAGTCCCCACCCCCACAGCACTTGGATCATCCCCTTTGAAATTTTTTTCACTTCTTCATTGAAACCATCTTTTGCAAATGACCTAGGTCACATAGATGCTCCCCAACCATTGCCATCTTCACATCACTGCTATCTACCTCTGAAATCATGACCGCCCCTAACCCCATTCTCTGAGTGCCAGCATCTCACTAGTCCCCAGGAGGCACCTCCCTCTCTATTTTGAAATTGGGTGTTCCTCTTCTTAGTTAACACTTAGTCTTCTCTCCAACTATTGAACCAGATGGTTTATTGAGATTCCTTCCAGATCTAGTATCTGTCATCTGACGTTCCCCAACTCATTCACTGTCCTTAAAATACATACATAACCAGAGGAGGGGAGGGGAGGATGGGCATTAATGCTATACATCTTCCCTCCTCTTCAAATACGAGTTCCTAAATACCTACTTTAAAGTCAATTCACCACTGGATAATTTCTAATATATATTTTACTCTGTGTATGCTACATAGGCAGTATGCTTAATGAGATCCCTAAAGACCCACTTATTTCAAATCTGACGAGCATTTCCCCTCTCTCCTCATTGCCCTTTATCCTAAGGGTGTATGTGTGTGTGCATGTGCATGCATACATTATGCACCGAATTAGGTCCCCCCAGAATTCACATGTTGAAGCTCTAATGGTTGGTGTTCCTGTATTTGGAGATAGGGCTTTTAAGGAGGGAATTAAGGTTAAATGACATCATAAGATTGGGGTCCTAATCCTGTAGGACTGGTGTCCTTATAAGAAGAAGATGTGACACCAGGGTGCTCTCAGTTTTTCTCATTACATGTGTGCACACACAGAGAGAAAAAGCCACATAAAGGCACAGCAAGAAGGCACAGTCTGCAAGCCAGGAAGAGAGGTGTCACCAGAAACAAAATTTGTCAGCACCTTGATTTTGAACTTTCAGCCTTGAGAAAATGAATTTCTGTTGTTTTTAAGCCACCCAGTTCTTAACAGTTTGTTATGGCAACCAAGGTTCTTAACCTTGTTATGCCCAGCAAACACAAAATGTAGTATTCTTAGCATACTCCATAGAATATGCATTCTGTTCTACAAAGTATAGTCTGCCTAGTTTGCAATGCACACATGAAGCATTGGGTCATTACAGAATAGTAGGGCTAGAAGTAAAGGTCACAGCTAAAAGCAGAATACTAGCTCTTTTCCACTAAGCAAAAGGGAACAGAAAGCAAATGCAAACACTATCTTCTTTATATCTCAGATAAGCTCTTCTTTTAGCTAACTTGGTTATATCTTATTTATTCACCTTTAGTGGCCATTGGTAAATGCAACTATTTTAACTTTGCAGTCAAATTTCACAAAAAGGTCAAACTTAGTCAATATTTTTATATGGATCTTCCTCTGATGGAGGAGGAAAGTGTGACTGGAACCATCAAATGCAAAAATGGGGACAGTTCATCAATGACTCTTGTTTCATTTTTTTTGACATTAATTGGAGATATTTGCTGAAGAAACAACCATTTGGCCAAGTGTGGTGGCGCATGCCTGTAGTCCCAACAGCTTGGGAAGCTGAGGCAGGAGGACCACAAGTTCAAAGCCAGCCTCAGCAAATTAACAGACCTGTCTCTAAATAAAAATACAAAAAAAAAAGGGGGGGGTTGGGTGTGTGTGTGGCTCAGTGGTTGAGCACCCCTGGGTTCAATCCCCAGTACTAAAAACAAAAAGAAAAGAACCATTTTGAGATTAGGAGAATTTGAACCTAGGTGGATATCAAAGAGTATTAAAGAATTATTGTTAATTTTGTCAGGTCTGATAATGATTTTATGGTTTTGAAAGAAAATGGGGCAACATAGAACTATTGACTGGAGAAAAAGAAAGAGGAAAAGAAGGAAGGGGCAAGAAAATTTTGACACTTCAAATGGGGGAAGGGTACAAGAGGCTCATTTGTATAATGTGTCTACTTTGGTGTAAATGTGAAAAATCTTCATTTAAAAGGTGTTTTTTAAAATGCATGCTGACACAAACATTTATGGAATACCTGAAATAGGAGTCAATTGGTTGTCTACCATTAGTAATAGATCCAAGGTTTGGGAGGCCTGAAGTTTCTGCAGTTGGGGAGCCTTCTTTAAGAAAAATCAAGAATACAAAGTGCTCTTGGGGAGAGCCCTGTGCTGATGAGAGGTTCTGAAGCCTCTGTCCGCCATGGGCGTGCTCTGGCTGGCCCAGTGATACTTCCCACTTTAGTCTTTTTTTTTTAATTAATGTTTTATACATAACCAAAGATTGGAGAGATTAAGACTATGATGTTCTGTAGCCAGGTGCTGTGGTGCACGCCTGTAATCCCAACGGCTCGGAAGGCTGAGGCCAGAGGATCAGGAGTTCAAAGCCAGCCTCAGCAACAGAGAGGCATTCAGCAACTCAGTGAGACCCCGTCTCTAAATAAAATTCAAAAAAGTCTGGGGATGTGGCTCAGTGGTTGAGTGCCCCTGAGTTCAATCCCTGGTACCCCCACACACACCAAAAAAAAAAACACTATGATGTCCTGCGCATCTGTCATCCAGCTACCACAGCCATCATTGGCGTCTTAGCTCATTGTGATGAATTAACCACCCATTCCTGTCCACACATACTGCATAATTTTTAAGTCCCTAATATGATCTTATCTCTAATGTATTTCAATATGCATCTCTCAATGTTAGGGACGCTTTCAAAAATATAGTACAATATTATTATCATACCTAAAAAAAATTCCCTAAGCAGATCAGTGTTTAAATTTCTCTAATTGTCTCAAGTATTATTTTTAGAGTTGGTTCAGATCAGGAACTGTAAGGGTCCGGCGAACGTCGGAGGAAGAGACCACCAAGAGACCGACTCATGCAACCGCAAAAGGGGGTTTATTGAGGATCCAGCATGCTGGGGCTCTGTGCTCACTCAACAAGGGAGAGCGGCCAAGAGCCCCGAGCAGGGGTTAGGCAGTGCTTAAGTACACTTTTTGGGGAGGGCGGGGGCTTTGCATACATCAGAGCAAATCATCATGAGGCGCGAGAAAATCGAACAACAACTCTCGAACATGATTAGTACATTCATTGGCGGGAACAGGTCGGGCGGGGGAGATAGGTTAGTCCTAAGAAGGGGGGTACATTCAAACTGATTGGTTTGGGCCCTGAATGCCTACGTGCCAAACTGCACAGGGCCCAGGTTATTTAACAACTAAATGGTCAGGGGGAATATCTACTGGGCAGTCCCATGAATTGTCCAAACAGCTACAGGAATTTCATGTTTTGAGTGTAGCATAGGAACTTAACAATACCTGGTCTTTTACATTTTAACTCAGGCTTTGCAGCTTAGAAAGTTTACAATGCCTGGTCTTTAACTTCAGTTTCTTTTATCCTTTCAGAACCAAAGAAGGTATCCATCAGACCTGGTTGATACATCTCTTAATTCTTTTTTTAATCTATAGGCTTGGCTTCTACATTTCTTGTTTTCTTTGCAACTTATGGCCGGGTTCCCCTGTCTCACTGATGTCCTGTAAATCTTCTAGTTATATCTAGAAGCTTGTTGGGATTGGGGTTTGATTTTTTTGACTAATTCTTCATAGGTGTGTGCTTCTTACAGAAGGCAGAAGATGCATTATTGTCCTTCCTTGGTCAGGTAAGTAGCCATTGCTTATCAATTCTGAAATCCTTATTTCTCAATGTTTTCCTTTGTTTGCTAGAGTGCCTTTAGGCAGGGCTGGTGCACATTTCCGGGTGCTGCCTTCCATTAGCTCCAGACCTACCTCACACGGTTACCTGGCTGACTCTCAAAGGCACTGAGCTATTGGTAGGATTTGGAGTGGGGACCACAAGGAAGTGAACAGGGAGCCTGGTCCTGATGGACTTTATAGCATGGTTGATGACACAGATTAAACACCTGAGAATAACAATTAAAGAGGTGCCATAAGTGGTATAAATAACTCACTCCTCTAGGAATACAGAGGACCAGAGAACAATCCACTTGGGTAGTCAGAGAAGGACTTTGACCCAAACACTGACTTGCTGCAGCAGGAGCAGAATGTCCTATTGATTACTGCTCTGTTGTCCTAGTCACTAGTTGGCTTCTATCCTTGGCTTCCTATTACAAAATGTCCTGTCTGTTCTCCTCCACGGTGCACGTTGGACCAAAGGTTTCATAGTCATGATTCTGGCTCCCTCTTGGTCACATGCCACCTTGTGGAATAACCACAAGTTACAACACATTTTCCAACCTTGAAGGAAGGGGAAGCCATCAAACCATCAGCTGCCGCAGGTGCAGAAAGAGAGTATCTGGTCTCAACATAAAAAATTAAAAAAAAAAAAAAGGAGGAGGATTCAGAAAAAAAAAAAAAAAAAACATAAAAAATTTTTTAAAGGCTGTGATGTGGCTCGGAGGTTAAGCACCCTTGGGCTCAATATCCAGTAACAAATAAATAAATAAATAAAAGAACTGGAAAAGCTAAAAAAAAAAGTTAAGCCATACTTAATTTTTGTGACCTTCAATTAATTTTTATTAATAATTTTAATGAAAAAATAAATAAATGGCCTTAATTCTTATTTTAGTTAAGCAGAGAAAAGTTTAAAAAAAACTATCATTACTGAGATCAAGATACATTTTACATGTCCTGTTTAGGAGGTGACCTTCCCCTGAGGAACTGGCCAATTTTACCAAGAAGTTGTTTTCTCTAAGAAGAACTATACCTTGAAAACTTCATAAGCTTTTATAGTTGTCTATAGGCCTCAATTGCTGAGGCTGGCTTTGAACTTGCAATCCTCCTGCCTTAGCCTCCCAAGCTGCTGTGGTTATAGGCATGTACCACTTTACATGGCTTTGGTTTCATTTTCATTTGCTCTGCTTTAATGGGAAAATTGAGTTTATAATCACTTTATAATGAAATAATAAACATACTTTTGTAAAATAAAAATAACATACAAGCAGTATTCTAGTTCATTTTCAGTTGAGAGACATAGGGCAAGAAGTAAAAAGAGAGATAAAGAAGAAAGGAAAAAAGTTATAATATTCAAAAAAACAGACCATGAGAAAGAAGAAAAGACAGATTAGCAGAGACATAAATGAAAATATAATCACACAATTATAAAAAAAATTGATTTGCGCTTCTCTTTTTTTTTTGTTAGTATGACTAGAGGGTTCATTAATATTGTTTTCTTTCAAAGAACCAATGTTGTGTGGCATTGATCCTTTGTATTTTTTTTTAATTCTCAATTTCATTAACTTTGTGCTGATTTTGGAAAAAAAAATTTGGTGCATGTGTATTCTGTCAGGCACAGAACTGGGCTCCTTCATATGTGTTATCACATTCATACCTCCCACAACCCAGAGAGGACAGCAGTTGTGGTCAACGTTGGTGAATACTTACCCAGTCTCCTCCTCCACCTTCTTTATTTTCTAACAGAATCCCAATTCTGTTCATGGTGGCAAAGTTCACACTAACACTTCCCTGCTTAGACATCTCCCTTGGGGTAGGAAAGGTTGTGTGACCTGATGCTTACCAGTCAGCTAAGAGGTTCTGGGAGAGGTTTCACTTTCCTAATATAGGGACTTCTCTCTCTTCCCTTTCTTTTATCACCCTGCCTGGAATACAGAGTTAGTTAGGAAATAAAGCAGCCATCTTATGACCATGAGGAGACAGACGTGAAGGAAAAGACTCCCAAAGAGGATCACAAGGCAGATGGAAAGAAGCAATCTTGGACATAGATGTCCCCAACTCTTCAGAATGCTACCTCTGGATTGCCTGGAAGTGGGAGAAAAAGAAAGCTTTGCTTGATTAAAGCACCAGAATCAGCTTTCTATTGTATACTTACTATCTGATAATTGAAGATTGAGTTTCTCTTATCCAAAATACTTGGGATCAGAAATATTTTTAATTTTGAATATTTTTAGAATATTTGCATATACATAATGAGATCTCTCTGGGATGGGACCAAAGGCTAGACATCATTTATGTCTAGCATATACTTATACACATAGCCTGAAGGTAATATTATACAACATTTCGATAATTTTGTGCATGAAACAAAATCTCCTGGTATGGAACTTTCCACCAGTGGCATCATGTCAGCACTCAAAAAGTTTCAGATTTGGGGGCATTTTGTATTTTCATGTTAGAGATGCTCAACCTAAATTATCACTGCAATTCTACTTATGTATTAAGATGCTCAAGTTTAGGCAAGTTGAGAAACTAGCTGGTGTTCAATGCCTCTTCCTGTCCACTGCCTCTTCCCCACCCCTCCCCTGACACACAACTACAAAGTGCACGAACCTCTCTGGACTCCCTGAGACCTCTCCTGGGCAAGCCAGAAGACCCTGTCCCTGCGTTTGGCAGCCAGGCAGGGTGGGCGGTCTTCCCTTCTCCACTGTCGTCTCTCCAGGGTGAGGGTCTTCGCGCTCTTCTGCTAGCCAGAGCGTGCGCTGCAGGAAATGAAGACATTGTCCCCTCCTTGCCAGACCAGTCCTCCTGGGAATGGCAGTGCAGCCGCTGGAAACCCCTCCTCTCCTGGCATGTCCCCTTACCTGCCTTTCTACCATGGTGCCCATGCTCACCGTGTCACCCACGTCCAACCACACCCAGAACATCCCTCTTAAAATAGAGCCATCTCGCCCAGCAGTTCCCCCCAGGAATTCACAAAACCCCAATCCCAAGGGAAGTTCTGCATCACGAACTTTAATTAAGTCTAAGATGTACAACCTTTTGCATTTTCACATCTCTGAAATCAGAATGTTTGTCAACAATTGGTGATTCTTATAATCATCATGGGTCATTTTTCTTAGGCCTAACCCTCTCTAAAGTCATGACGCATCTGATGGGCACAGATGGTTTTATTGGTTTTATTGGAATATGATGCTTAAAAACAAAAGGAGTCTATGGTCAGATAAGTTTGGGAAATAATGGCATACATATAATTAAACAAAAGTTTTTAATGCAGACCTTCTCAGAACTTTTAACATCTAAAGCACATCTCCAAGGGATTAGCTAAAATCACATGGTCATAGAATTCTCCTTTTTGGTAGAGCACCTTCTGGTTCTAGAGTTATATGAAACATAAATTAGGGAACACTATCATTACATTCTGGGATAGTTGACCCAGGTTTGCCTGATCTCTGACTATCTTCTGGAAAAGAAGTCTGAGACAGCTGGTCAGAAAATACATGAACAGTGAAGTTGGCAGCCCTGAAACATGGCCTTGCATAGGAAAGGTCAAAGGCTTCACAGAGGCACCATTGAACTGAGTAAGTCATTGGAAAACAGAACAGATACTTATAGGGGAGATCTCAGAAAGTGGAATGTGCAATGATGCTAAATTTCACCTACTTTGCTATTTTTATTGAAAACCTAGCTGACTTGCCTACATCCACTCCAAAGAGATACAGGGTATGTGAGGGTCGCACCTCCTTAATGCCTGGTGACTATGTCTAATCCCCAGAACCTTATAACATTGTTGGTCTCAGAAATATAAACACACCTGATGTGGTGCCTGTAAAATACCAAAAAAGGGAAGACCCAAGATGCTAGGTAATTCTTAGTGCTTTATAAATTCCCCAGGGGTGATTCTAATATGCACAGTTGAAGACCACAGTTTGGAGGAACTGGCTGCAGTAAGCAGTGTTTCAGCCGTGCCCGTTGGGGAAAGCTTCATTTTGCTGTTACAGTAATCAAAACCACAAGTGATGGGGGAGATGGAAATCAGGAGATGGAGGCAAGAGATATTTTGGAGACAGAATTCCCAGTGAGGAGTTTAAAAAGATAATTCAGGGTTGAGAAGTTTGAAAGAATGAGGTATCTCTGAAAAAGCTAGGATGGTGAGCGGGAGGAGCCCTGGGGTTGGAGGGAAGACAATTACTAGAGTTTATAGGTTGAACTTGAACTCTCAGATGGATGTCCAAGTGGAAATGGCCAGGAGGCAGTTGGAGATGGGGACGGGTTTTAGAGGATAGAGTTATGCATTTTGAAGTCATTTGTTCCCTACTAATATTTGAAGCCTCAGAAGTCAAAAGATCATCTTTCCCATAATCGAGTACTTTTCAGGAAACCACATATTTACACGGGCTGCAGTCAGTGTGAAGGACTGCCCACCCTCTCTCTTTCCCGTCCTGCCCCTCCCTCCCGTTTCTTCTGCCTTCTTCTCTCAGGTATGTTAAACCCATCAGCCTACCCAGCACCCCATCTTGAGCCTTGCCTATCTGGCAACAACTCTGGGTGATGCTTATCCAGTGAATCAGACAAGATAGACCCTTCTTTTTATCTAGATTGTTTTTTAAAACATTACACTTGTTCCTAGTGAACCTCACCTTTAAGAACTATTTCTTTAGTTGATTAGTGCTATTTATCAGCTGTGAGACCTGGCACAAGAGACTCTACTGTCTGAGCCTCAGTTTCCATAACTGGAAAACAAATAATCGTACCAACATCTCTGGGCTATAATGAACCTTAAATGAGAAAAGCTACACCAAGTGTCAGCAAATGCCTGGGGCTAAGTAGAACCTTGATCCTACTTAGGTTTCTCTGATTTCCCTTGTCCTGCTCCTCTTAACTCCCAAGCAGATCATAACTCAAGTGCACTGTCTCCAGTGTCAGGAGTGAGTCTACACAGCCGGGAGCCACTGGGCCTGCCTGTAAT